ACATTCCTTCCTATTGGTTCATCTTTCCTCTTCACTGGATAAAGGCCTCCTTGTTCCTCTGTCTCCACATAGGCATCCTTTGCTCAAGACATCTTTGCTAACTCTTTACACCAAGTCTGGTCCACTGGTCCCATATTCACTTTCTTGTGCACACAACTGCATACTTAATTCTTTATAGCACTAAACAAGATTGTAATGAAACAATCAATTATGCAATGTATGTATGCATGATGTAATTAACTTTTTAACATCTGTCTTTCTCATTAGAATGCCAACCTCTGTGTAGTCCAGGACAATAGCTGTCTCATTCACTTTCCTATGCTCCAGCTAGACACTCAGAATTTTGTTGAATGAATGAACCCAATCCAGGACCAGTTGTCTCATTGGCAAAATAGAATAAAAAGAAATCCTTGTCCCTTAATGTTGTTACTAGGATCAAATGNGAAGTTTCCTTTTAAAAATCAAAAAAGTATCATTAGCCAACATATGCCAACAATGTAAACATTTATGTGATTACATCACTTTACAAATCATTTCATTTTATAGAATTTTGGAGTTGGAACAATTCTAGCTTATTGTGAAGCTCTTTCCCTTGTGGCTCAGCTGGTAAAGAATCCACCTACAATGAGGGAGACCTGGGCTTGATCCCTGGGTTGGGAAGATCCCCTGGAGAAGGGAAAGGCTATCCACTCCAGGATTCTGGCCTGGAGAATTCCATGGACTGTATAGTCCTTTGGGTCACAAAGAGTCGGACACGAATGAGCAACTTTCGATTTCACCTCACTTCTAACAAGAAGGTGGAGCTTCCATAAGACAAGGAGGCATAAAAGTGGACTTCTCCATAGGTCCAGTGGTTAAGACTCTGAGCTTCCACTGCAAGGGACACGGGTTCCATTCCTGATGTAGAAACTAAGATTTCTGCATGTCCTGCAGCACACTCAAAACAAACAGAAAGACACAAAAGATGAACCCAAGCTATTGAATAGACCTCCCTCTACTACAGTCATAAGAAAAGACCAAAGGGAAAAAAAAAATTTTTTTTTTAATCCTGTGAGATTACATTTAAACTCTGAGGTCTAGGGAGCTCTTACTTTAACATTCAGAAGAAGTCCAAAGATTTAGATTTCATCTTATGGAAGAGTGGGGGAAAGGGGGCTTCTTGATGACAGCAAAACCACAATCAGATCATCTGAGGTTATCCTGAGCAGTTATAAAAGCATTCCTTCAATAACCTGTCCTTCCTCTTGAAGCTCACCGCTGGCAGAATAACACAGCCCTGTCATCAGTCTCTACCATAGAGGGAGGGAAGTAGGAAGGAGGGTAGCAAGTGCTATTCATTACATTGGCCCCCTCTATCCACATGCAGTCAGAGGAGACATTCTGAGGGGTCAGGAGTAACAGCATTAGACGTGTAAGCTCAGTAAGTCACAAAGGAAGAAATACCTTGCGAATCCTCAAGGTCTTATTGCCAGAGGGTAAATTGTGATGAATCTGGTGTACCTATCACCCAGGAACAAAATGAAACTAAATATCACTTTTGGTTGTTCATCAGGGAATTTCAGTTTAGTTGCTCAGATGAGTCCGACTCTGTGACCCCATGGACTGCAGCACTCCAGGCTTCCCTGTCCATCATCAACTCCCTGAGCTTGCTCCATCGAGTCGGTGATGCCATCCAACCATCTCATCCTCTGTCATCCCCTTCTCCTCCTGCCTTCACTCTTTCCCAGCATTGGGGTCTTTTGAAAAAAGCCCATTTTAAAGGTTGATATATTCAAATAGCTGAAGATGAGCCTAGTCCATTTATTTTTAATTACTGCGAGAAAAACCTTTAAACGCCCAATATTTTCAAAATCTGTTCATCTATATTTTTGCTTCAAATTTTTTCTTAGTTTGTCTCAGAAGTACCATAGGTTTCAGCTTTAAATTCTGGGTTCCTATTCTGTCTGACTTACACCTCGCAGACTTTCAATAAATATATTTAAAGGGAAGCAGATGTGCTGCTTAATCAGATAATGGAGAACACTGAAAAAACCAACTAAAACTTCTCAGAAAAGTCATAAATTCTTTAGGCATGGACCTCAACAAAGGGGAAAGTGTATCCCAACTGAGCAATAATGATTCATTCTTGGA